TTGTGAAGGAGTTTCTGCCCGACTGGAGAAATTTTATTTCTCGCATTACCTTCCGGCTGTTAATGCTGCTCTAATGTGATGTTGTTCTTAATGTCAACACTGGACTTCTTTGGAACTTTCTTTTCCTAGTTACTTCGAGAACTCACACTCTTCTTTCAAAGTTCTTGTTTTTCCATTCAATCAAAACATTAATACACTGTTTGTACTCGTGGAGTACTGAACACGATTAGTAGGCGTCTGAGTACTGGCGGGGTAAGGGACTGGTTTATTGGATGTGCCAACAGGAAGCAGTAGTAAAAGGAATGGCAGCTTAGAACACCGTAGGTGACGAAATACAATAATGATCAAATAATAGGGCGTGAGGTGGTGCCAAAACAAGAAAGAACAGAGTAATCACAACGCTCTCAACACAGCAAATAGAAAGAATAATGTGCACAGTGCTAAGCTGCACCTAAATATTAAAGTGTTTGGGAACACCACCGTTATCTGTTATAATAATAAAATATTCGCTTATTTACATAATTGTGTACATTGTTAAACAGGACAGGACGATTTATGAATGAAGGTGTGAAATTCACGGCAGTATTGCATGGAACGCCCTCTCGGCTGATGGAAGATCGATAACTGCTGCCGATCAATTCAAGAGAGCCCTATCTGATATTGCCGTACTTAACTTGTATAATATAATATAATAATGATGGGTAATCCTGAAATAAAGATTTAATCTTTATTTCAGGATTACCAAAAGGCTAACTGTAAACTTTTTGCCAACGGTCCAACACCGCTCGCTGTACTTGATGTTCCCTGGACTGCTAAAAATTGTCCCCATCCAACAAAGTCTGCCAATGTTCACACATATATTCTCATGAAATGCTTCCACTACATTTTATTTGTTATAACAAGTAAAAAAATTCACACAAATTGAGTGACCTCGGGGGACCTCGGTCTTTTACTCGTTCTATATTTCATATATTGACTTCTTTAATCGTGCAATAATAGATACATAAATGACACCATCCAGAAGACGATATTGCATGCTTACTTTGCCCTCAACTCGGCACTTTGCGACGGCACGCGATTACATCACGTCTCCCAAATATGGGATTATGCAATGAGCTTATGGTTTGAACACCGGCTTATGCGGCCATAAACACGCTGGTTTATACGCGACATTACCGTATTTGAAGTGGCTTCTTCTGGCTAGTGAATCCCTAGTTTTTGGTAAATTTTCATTTTTTCTGGTGCCCAAACCGTCTATAATGCGGACACCCCAGAGGATCTCGGCTATGCAGACATTCAAGCTAAGTGGAAACTGTTCATGTATCATGACTTTTTTGTCTATAGATAGTGCAGAGAAACTCGTTAGTGAAGGCATCATGGTGCATGGTTAAAGGGGAACTACACCCAAAAATCAAAACTTCATGGTCCGTAGAGTTTTGGACGCTGAGTCGAATGGTGAAGGTCCCACTTCAATCCGACCAAGCGTTCTTGAGATATATCAGTTTGCAATTGTCCTTTTTGGGTCCGTGCCGTGACGTCACAAACCCGTGACGTCATTGAGACTTGGTGATCCTTTGGCCAGATCCAGAAACACTGGGATTTTGCATCTTCTTTCTGTTTGTCCATGGAAGAAGAGGGTATTTGTGTCATCATGGCTTTTGGCTGTGTTGTTGGCTACTATAATCTTACTGGTAACCCCCCTGGGATGAACCTGCACTAATTTCCGAAGGATTGTGCTTGGCACAGGCCGAGCAGTGCACCATAGCAGCTATCAAGCGACATAATTATTTGCTTGACAATTTCGGGACTACAATGTAAATCCTTCGCGTGTGTTCCAGCTATTTGGCAAAGGAGGATTTTCAGGAGGAATATTATGCACTCATCCGATGGGGACGCTGGTCATGGTGGATGAAACTGTGGTGTGTCCTTTTTTCGCACGCCACACTGTGAAGTGTCAGTCGAAAAGCGGAGGTGAGTGCAATATTTCAAAAACACTAGCTACTGTATGTAGTTCTTTCTTTTCCAAAGCATTTGTAAAATTGTTTTGGACTACATCACTACGAAATGTGAAGCTTTCCGAAACCGGCCTGATGAGGTGGACGGCAGTAGATCTCCTGTTTCCCTAGGCTATACTGCGTGCGATCGATGAACCTGTCTGCGATTGCTGTTCTTGATTTTACAGGAAGAAGATCAAGAGCGGCTGTACCATCGGTCGCAGTGACTCACTGTTGAGCTACGACCACTGCCACCGCCCAAAGGTTATAGGAAGGACTGTTTGCAGCGCCAGCGCCTCTAGCTGGCATGTTTTTTTCCTGTATGAACACACAGTATGTACTGCTGATAAGCTACATCACGCAATGACCCGCAGTTCAAGGAGAGAAGATAGTCCACATACCGGCAACAGTGTACACCTATTCGGGAACTCGTTGCGTTTTCTCAGTATGGATGCAGATGAGAGCCAGACATTATTATTATTGTGTGTATGCGTGCACGCGCGTGAGTGTGCGCGCGCACGTGCGTGAGTGTGTGCGCGCAGGAGCGTGAGTGTGTTCGTGCGCGCGCCCGTGCGTGAGTGCGCGCGCACGTGAGTGTATTTGCGCACACGCGCGTGAGAGACAGACATTATTATTATTGTGTGTGTGGGTGCACGCGCGTGAGTGTGTGTGTGTGCGCCCACGCGCGTGACACTGAATGTGTGTGTGCCCGCACATGCGTGTGCTTTTGTGTAACGTAATATAACATTCCAAAGATATTCACGTCATCTATTCTGTGTTCTCCTTTATGTCATTCTCTCCCCCTTGCGGGAGGGACATGGAATGACAAGTAGTAGATGCATTGCCGTTAGTGATCCTGAGGGATGTGTGCGGATGCAACCAAGTGCATGAGTGCGCATGTGTGCGTGCACGAGCATGTGCACAGGCACTTGTATGCTAATGCACTCGTGTGCGCACGCGCTTGTGAAATTGCGTGTCTGCGTGCGTGAGCATGTGTGACTACTATACTATGTGCCCACCAAGGTGAGCACATGTGCGTGCGTGTGTGTGGGGCGCAGGCGGATATGTGCACACATTTCAGAATGATAATCAAGAAGGACAGAGCTGTTCCGGTAATGCAGTCATAAGACACCACAGTAGGGCAAAACGCACTCAATGTGCTACTGTGCTGCTGCTGCTGCTAGAGTGCACAGCGTAATTGTTGGTACACAGCTACGTGAAATACAAGAGAACGTCTCAGCATTCTGTAAAGACTAAGTGATAATGCAAAAGGTGAGAATGTATTTCGCCACAATACGAATCGAGGTGCAGTCCACTTATGTGAGATAAAGCACAAGTGAACGATACACATTGCACGGAGATAATGCTAGCCATGTTACGCAGCAAACTCCATGAACAGGAGTACGAGTGAGGAGACTATTGATCTGAGTACTGTGCGAATACAAAATTTCACACAATTTACGATATGAAGAGAACGATTCGATTTGTGAGCATTACGTAGGACTATACTGTGAAAACACTTACGGATTGTCAGGGTTCTTCTCCAATTGCAGTCATTTCTGCTTCATCCACATTTACAGCCCGAATGGAAGCCACCGCTTGCGCTGCCATATCCTTTCCTGAAAATTTCGGCTCATGCCCGAAGCCAAACATTTTCAGCTCAGGCTCTGAGCTTTCAAGCTCGTCTGATACGTCGGAATCGCTCATGGTGAGGACGTCTTTGTCAGAACTATTCCTTTCACATACCAAAATACCTGTACTTTCTGAGCTTGGCCCAAGCAAGCGAGTCTCAATGACGTAGAAGGGCATGTTGGGGGTGTGTCGCGGCCGCATGACGTCATGGCGCGTCCCCCGAAAGTACAATTTAAACCGAAGATATCTCAGGAACGCTTGGTCGGATCGAAGTGGGACCTTCACCATTCGACTCAGCGTCCAAAACTCTACGGACCATGAAGTTTTGATTTTTGGGTGTAGTTCCCCTTTAACTTGTGAACGTGACACATGTTTTACATCCTACATTCCATTTACATGTCACTGATCTCCCAGCGTGGATATCAGATGAGGCACTTTTGAAATCCTTGGGTCGTGACGGGAAAGCCGCGAGTACGTCTAGATCAACCGGATCCACTGCATTATCAGTGACAGTCAATTTATCACCCTTTCGACTGGTCAAATCCGGATTCGGATCCCACGGATTTTTTTGCCAATCAACCTTTTTGGCAAGAACGCACCTGGTTGTGATGAAGCCGAGACCCAAGGTCGGCAGAGCATCCCAGACCACGCCACCACTCCCCTTATTCATGGCTCACACATGACGGGTTTACGTGGCTCTAGTAAAAAAAAAAAAAAAAAAAAACTTCCACATGCGTTCGATTGGCCCTGGGATGTTCCCAATGGCCCAGGTAATCTATCGGGAATGCGTATTCAACCAATCAAACATCCTGGGACAGAGTATTCAGGCACGGGGAAAGCATGTGTACCAGGAAGTGGACCAACGAACACACAGAGGGCATGCAAGCATGGTGCGCATAGGCCATAAGCGGAAGTTGTGAACAGATTCCATTACATTACATTCCTGGGTTTGGCTTTTGTGGGCTCTCATAGCTGAAGATAATCAGCAAGCTCGATATTAAAAGCAATCATTGGTCGACATTGTCTGGTGGGCTTTTGTCTCTACAACGACATCCATGGAGGAATAGGTTTCGCTGTGTTGCAAGAACTTGGCGAATTTCTTGTCAAGTACATGTACTTCAAAAGGACAGGAAATCATCGGAAAGCGTCTGTCATTAGTACACCTGTATAATTGGTCCTTAGCTCCAAGAAATATGATGAGTCTATACCGATAGCCAATTCCACGTTTCGTTGACCAGCAGTACACCTTTTTTGGAGTTCACTATTGCAGGTAATTGTGTTACATCAGTCATGATGTATTCTGTGTGGCGTTGGATTGATCTGCTGTTATGGTGTGTACAGGAGGTCTGACTGTGTTATTGACTGATAGTCCCGGTACATCACACCCTGTCTACTACCTGAATGGATTAAGTACAGCACAGGTTGGACTAAGGTATTTACCAACATGTCGGACTAGAGGATTGTATGAAGGTGCTAGTCGTCAGTATTTACGACTGACCAATACTGATACCAGTACAACTGTAGCTGAACGGGGGGCATTTGCTGTTGGATTTCATCTCGACACACTTAGACTATTCTGGAACACATCATCACATGACACTCTGGACCCAACCTACACTGGACTGTACAGGTGTATTACAGATGTAGGAATGTCATCACAGACATATCAACTCAAGGTTGTAGGTATGTACACAACGACTGTGTGTATTGTTAGTTATAATGACGAGACACTTGACATAGGTATTCTCAGTATTGTGCATCTACCCAAGATGATGACATCATGGCAACCTCTTCCCTTTCTTGCATAATATTAGTAGGTGTTAGTAAAGTAGAGCTACAGTCCGTTTCAAAAAGATTTACAATCCTGGCGATCGCCCTGGTGAGTTTGCCGTCTTACTGTATGAGCGATCGAGCGCTGCCTGGAAAAAACTCACTGTGAACTCGAAGAAATATTCCGCGCGAAAGCACAAAAGATGACAACTCATGTCGATACTCTGGTCGATACTCTGGTTTACAACAAACGAGTTCTTCCGGTATCGATATATGGAGTCAGAGAGGACATGTATGAGAGGACATGTATGAAGTGCACCTCATCCAGCTCTGCATAGGGTCTTGGTCGAGCGTAATAGGATCTTTGCGTCATAATACCGTACACATCTGAGGGGAACCCGGGGAGTCGCGGGTACTCACTTATCAAAAACAATGGTGCCCTGCCTCGAGACCGGCCTTGCGCTGGTGTGGAGTGTACGCATGACATCAGAAGATCCGATTCCGCTCGACCAAGACCCTATCCAGAGCTGGATCGGCGTTGCACACTCTGGGCGGTTATGTACTCTTGATGATATGAGCCGCAATCAGTGAAAACGGCCCTTAGAGGTAATTTTTTTTAATTTTTTCGAGAAAAAAGGTCCATTTGGGACGTTCAATGGTGTTTTTTGATCACGCTGCAAACAGCGCGACGAGTTCTTCACTTCTTGACCTCTTTGTGCAATTGCTTGAAGTTATTTTTTGAAGTTGAAGTGGTGTGTCGAGTGGCGGTTCAAGTGTTTCTTGATCTTGTCATGATGGCTGTGTCAGCCATTGTCTACAGCTATCTCGATCCTGGTGGGGAGTGGATGCTGAAGTAGCATTGAAGTTCAGAGAGAGAATGAGACGTTCTTTTCTTCCGACGTCGATGTCGACAGGGAGGCGGAATCGCAGTCGTCATCCCGTGCTCCGATGCGGCTCAAGGTGGCCAATGAGCAGAAGATGAGGAGTCGTCATCTGAGATAAATTCTGAGTTTGGGGCTAGGGACGGCAGCGACGTCGGACCTTCAGCTGTGGAGGAAGGAAGAAATAGAAGATAAGACTGCGGAACGACTCCCCGCAGGATGCAGCTGCGAATATGTCCATAATGTTTCCGCACTGTGCAGCTGTTCTGTGTTATTCTAGCTGCTTACTGCACTATTTCAAAGGTATTCAAGCTGCTCACCCACTTTTAGAATGCTGAATTTTCAGTGCACACATACATCGATCCAAGACTGGAATTGTCTCCCATCTGCCCTGCTACGCAACCTTCCCACACAGAAGTGAATGCAGGCATTCAAGGAAGGTGCCTACAAGTCTCTCCGCAGCCCAGGCTGGCACTCAGTCACAGATGCCCTCTGAACACTCCCTGAACACCCTCTCCGCTTGCACCCTGGCTCCCCCCTTTTTATTTTTATTTTTTAATTTTCTCTGCAGCCGAGACTGGCACTCAGCCACAGATGCCCTCTCAACACTCCCTGCACACCATCTCCGCTTGCACCCTGGCTCCCCCCCCTTTTTATTTTTATTTTTTAATTTTTTAAATTGTTTTACTCTATCACATGTATCATCTTTTCGTTTTCCTTCCTCTATATCAATGTACTCCCCCCCCTCCTCTCACCATGTGCCTACTGTTCTCGAGGTTCGTGGTTTCTCGTAAAAAAAACCGTCTACATCCATTGCACCAATTTGGAGTGCATCTTGTACATTAGTGTATAAACCCGTTTGGAATCGGAAAATTGATCTTTTTCTTGGCTGAGGTACTTCAGTACATGTGTTTCAACAAATTTCTAACCAAAAAGTAATTTTAAGGTTTGACCCTAGGGGCTGTTTTCGCTGGTTGAGGCCCATATACTCAATCTGCATACGGAACTATTTTGTCCTTTGTGGGCTTTTCTAAAACCAGATTTAAGCCTAGTTCACATTCGACGGGACGCGACGTAAGGATCGACGGGAAGCGACGGGACGGTCTGACGGCGTCCAATGTGAACACCAGAAACGGGAACGCAACCGTACTACCGTGCAGATCGGGAAGCGATGGGAAGAGTTGAATCGATCCAACTTTTCATACCGTAGACGGGCGTACACGGGGACGCAAGCGTACAGAACGGCTGCAATTCGAGTGTGAACAGGAGACGGCGTCGTGCCGGACTTTAAAACAATCCCCGAACGATATCCAGAGTAAGATCAGGTCCCACATCTGTGAAAAGGGTGCTCAACATCAAAGATGGAGCAATGACACACAACTCATCAACCAATGGGTAGCCAAGAAATTTGTTGTTACTCCGAGTTTCGTGCAAGAGGACTCATCAGACTTCATACTGACACTCAAAGTAGAAAACACCAAATAAATACTAGTAGTGGACATTGGGCTGGAACATGGAGGGATGTCAGTGCTAGGTCTGATAATCTGTGCCAATGGATTGTGCTCTTTAGGCGAGACCAAAATAAAATCGAGATTCCCGGGCAGGACCCATGTGAAATTAGTGCGGGCGGGCGAATTTTATTTTTTATTTTTTTTCCCATGTACGTACATGACTATATGTGTGCATGCCATGTTGAACTTTTTTTACAGCATTTTCCGGTAATTTTTATTCATTTTTTTTACAGACAACAGGTACGCGGTTTACCCGTTCAATTTTTCTATATTTCGGCCAACGATGGCCCTGATCTGTTCATCAGGGAGTCGTACAAGCTTGGGTTTGTGTGACTCCATGTCACAGATCTACTCACATGATCAGTACTGTACATGTATGAACTGCTAAAAAAATGGCTTTGGCTCGATTTTGGTGGGGGAGGGCCCGGGAATCTCTATTTTTTTGCTTTCGCCTTAGGAGCTATCAATGGGGAGCAGGTGATAAAATTGTAAAATTTGGAGGTCAGTGTTTTTATTGTATTTCAAGGATTACCCAAAGGCTCTAGTGGGAGTGATCATGTCGTTGCAAGTCCAGTTGCGAGCGGACTAACATTCTGCCAGATGCGGAAGTACCTGTCATCAGTGAATAGCCAGAGCATGATCAAGGACAGCATGATATGCTCCAAAATATATTTTGTGCTAGGATGTAGTACAGCAATAAGACTGATATCAGTGATGTGTGTACTAACTGATATCAGTGATGATTGTAGTAACTGATATCAGTGATGATTGTAGTAACTGATATCAGTGATGATTGTAGTAACTGATATCAGTGATGATTGTAGTAACTGATATCAGGGATGATTGTAGTAACTGATATCAGGGATGATTGTAGTAACTGATATCAGTGAGGATTGTAGTAACTGATATCAGTGATGATTGTAGTAACTGACATACGTCTGGATTAAATACATTTTATGTTGGATAGCTTCATGGCATGTATGTGGGACAGTAATATGATTTCATCCCCTCCTCAGCCAAATCATGGAAACACCACTGCATACAGATATGCATGCAGCATGCACACCCCCCCCCCCCCCTTACACACACACACGTAATGTTGTGAACATTGCAATCCGGTGGAATGACCGATGCCAGCAACATTTCATGAGTAAACGCACTATAGTCAACGTAACCACTGCAAAAATGCACCAGCTGTGTCTAGCAATCATTTCCTGCAATGCATAGTCAACATGGAATAAATACAGAGCCCCACGTGGAGGTTCACTCGAGATTTCGTTCACGGCTGAGGCTTTTTTTTCAATGAACTATTCGACTGGGACCTGTCACATCACGCTGAACGGTTGCGCTATAGGTCTTACAGTACTGGTCATTGAACTCAGACCGAGGGGCGTCATAGGGCAGTTGGAAGTGTCCCCGTGAAAAGAGGGGGTTGGCCAACAGGGCACGTTTCAGCGTTCCACAGCTCCAAATACCCAAAGGACAACTAATATCTCCCATGGATGTTTTGGTACTTTCTGTACATCGTATGTTGACTTAAAGGAAGCCATTCACCTCGAAAATTCGCAAAATCCGAAGTACAAGCATGCTGTACGTTCTAGCATGAACCACTGTGCTAATATGTATATCGTGTCCAGCAAAAGTGAGCCATATGCTTTGTACATATGCTTTATACATGTACATGGCCGGCCCGGACAGTCACGAGTTTTTTTGCAGTGAAAAGCAGATCCTTTTTTTTGTTCGGTGGGATTGAACGATCTGCCATTGGACTGGGGAGCTACAGCACTGGAAGCATAGAAAAGGGCTTACATAATATTCTTCGTGGCAACAGGACTTTAGTTTGCGAGAAACTTTCGTCCTTTCTTTGCGGGCGCACTTCTTGTTTCTGCCCCAGAACACTTGTAGAACGAAAGGATCTGAAAATTGTAGAATCGTTTGGTGAATGAGTCAGGTCAGTGAACAGCTGCGAAATGTTCTGGCATCAAGGAGCATCAGTCCAAACACTTTCCAACTTCGGAGAATGAATCACTTCCCTGTCCCTTTGACAAACGCACCATTTGAGGGTGTAATTTACTTTCGCATCGAGTGTGTGGAAAGAATAATAATTATTGTATTGTGGCTGACATACCGGTGATGTCTCCTGACCATGCTGGTCACCATTGTAACATGGTAGTGCTTGGACATGTTTATTTCTGGACTTAGTGAGCACCGCCAGCTCTATTTCCCTCAAGGTTTGCATACCGTCAACTTTAGTCTGTATGTGACACGAGAGAGCTTGGAAGCTCATCATGCATGTTATTAGAGCTGATGGAAATGTTTTTTTTCCATTGATTGGATACATAATTGTCGTCTACCACCTAAGTCCTAAATGACCAAGGTAAATTTTTCTTTTCTCCTTTTTTCAAGACATACTGTAACCTGGGATTGAAACCCGCACTATCGACCTGCATGCATTCCCCGATACACTTCGCATACATACTCATTCATCCTAGTTGCTTCATGTTATGATATTGCACTTGAAAGCCCCATTTGAATTTTGTGACCCGCTGTCTTTGATGGTATGGTGCGGTATTGTATACCGTATTTCCCAGATTATACGTTGCACTCGATTATAAGTCGCACCCCCCATTTCCAGGTTTAAGCAATATTGATTCGATATATTGACTTCAGTAGTAAGTCACGCTCGATTGTTAGTCGCACTCCCTTTTTACCGTTGGGTTTACTCCCCACACCGGAGCTCGCGCTATTCCGCCGACTTTACTTGACACTTGGTGTTGGGAGCAAACCCTTTCTTACAAATCATCGCCGAAGTCGCAACCACTACTTCGTTCCCTTTTTTACCCTTGAGTTTTAGTGTAAAAAGTTGCGACATATATTCGGGGAAATACGGTAGGTACATGAAAGCGCCAGGCATGCCGACGGCACAAACAAACAAACAAACACTGAATTTAAGCTGTGTGGACCCTGGCTAGCGGCAGACGTTACTGAAGTAACGTCTTTTGCATAGCTACGGGAATTGAACAATAATCAACTCTTCTCTACCCTCAACTTTAGTCTGTATGTGACATTAAACAATAATCAACTCTTTTCTACCCTCAACTTTAGTCTGGTGATCAAGTTGTGCCAAAGCTTGAAAAGGATAAACCACGTGCTGATCATTGTACTTCAAAGTCTTCAATCATTTCTCTGTCACTGTATGTGCCTCTGCTATGCACAGTTCCACCTACCATACTGTCATTGAACACATCGCATTATGTGGACACCAGCAACACTGCCCACCCAATCAGTTGTAAAGGTCAGGGATACCCAGAACCTACAGTGACACTAATGGTCAACAATGTGGTAATGACTGGACGTGATTCCAATAATTGTGCTGCTGGTATTTGTACAAAGACACGAACAGCATCACTAGATGGTAGTACCTTCACACCTGGCCAGTCCATCAGCATCACCTGTACTGTGGATATCAACCAGCCACCATTCACCTGTACTGCTGCTTATGATCCAGCAGTACAAGCAAAGTGTAATGCTGCTGCCAAGACTACGTCACACACAAGAACTATCCCTGTAGGCGGTAAGAACTAAGTTATCTCTACAAGTGTATAATGTACTTGTGTAATTTAGCAAGGAAAATGACGCGTAGTCCAGGTCCCCGGGTTCACGGCCAGACCTGCGAGCAAACATCCGTACACTCTCCCCCCCCCCCACACGCACACGCACGCGCACACACACCTGCACACATGCACGCACGCCCCCCCCCCCCCCACACACACACACATGTACACACACGCGTGCATCCAAGCACGCACGCACACATACAAACATGTAAACATGCATGAATGCACTCATGTGCATGCACACACATACACACATACACTCATGTGCATGCACACACATACACACATACACACATACACTCATGCACTCATGTGCATGCACACACATACACACATACACACATACACTCATGCACTCATGTGCATGCACACACATACACACATACACTCATGCACTCATGTGCATGCACACACATACACACATACACTCATGCACTCATGTGCATGCACACACATACACACATACACTCATGTGCATGCACACACATACACACATACACTCATGTGCATGCACACACATACACACATACACTCATGCACTCATGTGCATGCACACACATACACACATACACTCATGCACTCATGCACATAAAATTAATTTGGATGGAAACGTTCCCATTCACCCGCGTTCATCTACAACGTCATATCATTACACACACACTTACAATCAATTGACACGTTGGGTTGGGAGTTGCGATGACTTATTTTTGGATAAAGATATTAAAAAAATGCTTAATGCAGTTTGTAGTCTGCATGTACAATAATTATAATAGTATGTGATGATAGACCATTTCCAAGGGAGAAGTAGACAATAGTTGAGCTTTTAAATATAATCATATCCGATCATCAGCAATTCATACTGCTCACAAATGGGCCACCGAGGGCTAAATGATCCTGTGTGATGTGGACTGCTAGCATACTACAATCTGCCCACTGAAGCTGCACGAACGGCTGGTGAGGCCAACAACTTACCCACTAAGGCTGCATGAACTGCCGCTGAGGACAACAACTTACCCACTGAGGCTGCATGAACTGCCGCTGAGGCCAACAACTTACCCACCGAGGGTTAAAACATACTGCCCAACCTAGGGCAGACAAGCGACTATAGAGGCTAATAATCTGCCCACCAATGGCCAAAGCAAACTTGCCATCAAGGAATGAAGCAAACTTCCCACCAAGGGCAAAGCGGGATTCACAGTTGCGAACAGCTACAGTGGAGTCCTGCTATACCAAACTACATTGTGCAGGATAGTTTGTACTTTATAACCGAAGTTTGTTATAACAGAAATGCACTCAGACCAGTATACAAGCAGCAAGTCATGACTGGCAGGATTGGATTGGTACGAAAACAGAGACTGAATTTTATTACACCTCATCTAAGTACCCTTCTTGGTATTGCATCATTCCCTCCTGCACAATGTCCAGCTTTCTCGTGCATTTGTTTACTGCTGCCTGAATGGACATGCTAGTCCTCTTCTGGGAGATGACTTTACCTTGCTAGCCCATGGCGCCCACATTGCAGCCACCACCCGTGGCCAAGTTTCCGCCCCCTGCTAACACCCGATATGGCTTCAGTGCAGCTGCTGAATTACTCGCTACCAGGTGGAACACACTTCCACCGGCTTGCCGCCGCCTGTCTTGTTCACCAGCAGAGTTTCACCCATCATCAAACTATTCCTAGGCTTGCCTGTAAAAAGGTGTTGACGCCTCTTGGGAATTCCCCAGTAAAATAAGAATAGAATAAAATAGAAGAAATCACATGGAAAAGAGAAGCTACTAAGTACTATCCACCACTCTAACAGTCAAGCAGTCAGAAAGTACGATAACAAGGGCACAAACTGACAGGCTACTGAGACATTCAACGAACTGAGGCCTTGCCCTAACACATCTCCAGTGTGCAAACCAACAGCCGTCCAGCTGTTTTCAAACCTGGCACGTGTACGCGTGAAACCACGCGTTTGTGCGTATTTTGCTGGCTTTTGGGGCGCCATGAGTACGAAAATGTGCCGAAAAGGAAATTCCAACATGTTGGGATTTTCAGCGCGTATCAGGCGCATACCAGCGTACGTGCCAGTCACTTTGACTTGCGGGGTAAAAAAATTAGTACTTAAAGGTGTCGCACGCGCTAAATACGACTCGGATTGCCGTTCTTTGTGAAATCCTGAGCGTGCGTTTGGGCACGCATGAACCACAAGCGTACCGCGTCCACGCGCCACTTGTGAACACAGCTTTAGAATGTTCAAGGTTTACCATCATGGTAGAACCAAGAGTTCATAACCCCTAGAGTGTGCAACGCCACACAAATCTCTGTCACGACTCATTTTCAACATTACGTCATTTTCATGTAGCTGCGCGTGCAGGCCGCGACATTCGCTACATGAAAATGTACATGAAAGTGACGTAATGTTGAAAATGAGACGTGACAAGACCCTATCGCGAGATGCACACTCTAGGGGTTATGGACATTGGTAGAACCAATGAGGGGAAGGCGAGCGCAGCGAAAATGTGCACAAGCTAAGTCCTGCGGCAATAAAGAATGCCGACCGTTACAGGACGATGGCGAGACCAGTTGATAACATGAAATTGCGAGCAGCCGAGTAATAAAAAAGCACTCAATGCGACTTAAACTTACTGCGCGTATGCAAACACAGCATGATGCTCGGATTGCGAACATGCTATCCTTCGTTGGTACGTAGTACGAACGTACCTTAGACATGTGATGTGAGTTTTCGCCGACGAAGATCCCATACGCAGAGGTGCACACTCTTGGAGAGTTATATACTGTTGCTGTCATGTTTAGTCATGATCATGACTCAGCTGATTCCACACTTTACCCTCCCAGCTCTCCACTCACACCACATCTGCTGCATCCTTACATGTAGCACTGATACCATGAGTGCCACAGCGGTAATCTTGCACCATCATCCATCATAATTTTTTACTTGGAAGTATTGTCAAGTTGGTTGCTCCAACGATGAGCACACGCTTCTTGCCGAACTTGACACTTGACAGACTCACGACTGCCATCCGGAGCACACGAGGAGCACGTCGAACCTTCCGCTCGGCAAACCTGAAAGAAAGCACCACTCCCTGCTCAATACACAGTGTTTCGGGGAATTCACCCCTCATCAGTTGAGCTTGAGTAGACTGAGGAAGATTGTGCCTGAAAAGCACCACTTTTATACTGCTCTCCAGGCCAAACCATCACCAGGGATACAAACTTACAGAGACGCTTACGCTCAGCCTACTCAAGCTCAACTGATGAGGGGTGAATTCCCCGAAACACTGTGTATTAAGCAGGGAGTGGTGCTTTCTTTCAGGTTTGCCGAGCGGAAGGTTCGACGTGCTCCTCGTGTGCTCCGGATGGCAGTCGTGAGTCAGTCAAGTGTCAAGTTCGGCAAGAAGCGTGTGCTCATCGTTGGAGCAACCAACTTCATGACTATTACCGCCGAAGTCGCAACTTCTAAGTTCGTTCTCTCCAAGCTAATAGAAGAATGAAAATAGAAGTGTGCAGTGTATGGTAAGGGTACAGTTTGTGTATAGTCAATTGAGGTTATCAGATTTCTTTTGGTTATGCAGTGATGGACACGCTCAAGCAGCACCGCCAACTCGAGCTGTATTCTTAGCACCCGAAGGGGGCAGAGGGACAGAGTGAGACAATTCTGCTCTGGCATTTCAATGACAAAGAGAAGCCTCTGCAATGCTTCATCCCATATATTTGAAAATTCCTCTGATTGGTTTTGCGGTAGTCCTGTATACTTACATTTCTTCTGAAGCCAATAAAAAGTAAACAATTCTCATTCTTGTGATTTCAGAACCTTGTCCCCTGTTAGATTCCTCTCCTGGTTATGATTTCAATGCTACATTCTCCAATGTCTCTGGAACAATTCTGGGAATTTCATGTCGTGCTGGCTTTACTGTGGATGCTAGAACGAGTTCCATTGACACAATAACATGTCAGCGTAATGGAATGTGGACACCTCTCCCGACTTGTACAGGTATGTATGTACGGTAATATACATGTCCTTTGTACCTCTGGAACACCGTCGGGTCTAGATTACCGACAAGTACCCCCCCCCCCCACACACATACACATACATGTACACACAAACATACACACACACACACACCTTCCTTCCTTCCTTCCTTCTACAACTGCCATGACTGGCTATGTGGCCCCATACGGGGCAGACCAGCAGACGTGTTGTCCACCGGGCGGGGAACGCCATACTCAGCGCGCGCGGGCCGCTCGAACAGCGTTACACTTGTGCCTCGCAATATCCTGCGGCCGACGAAAACTGCGCGCACAAGTGCCACAGATGAGGGGCTTCGCCACAGGCTCCATGTCGGACTGGACAATAGCATCGACAGCATCACGGCAGGTGACCCACCATCCCTGTCGATCTTGGACGATGTCACAAAGCTGCTCCAGAGGAACGCCAACAGCCATCAAGTCGCACTTCGCGGAGTCCTTCCAGCGCTTGCGAGGTCCATGCGGTGGACGTTTGGAGGGTAACGCGCCATACAGCAGCTGACGAGGGATCCGATCTTGCATGCAGGACACGTGGCCAAGCCATCGAAGTCGGCGGACTCTAACTAGCGATCTCCTCCATATCGCCCCACATCCTGCGAACCTGGAGAGAGGAGATGTGCTCCTCGATCTGCCGGCCACGATTTATCTTCAGGATGGAGCGCACGCACTGCAGGTGAAAGGACTCCAGGCGACGGACATCACGCTGCCTGATGGTCCAACTCTCAGATCCATAAAGAAGGACCGCCAGGACAGTCACTCCATACACAATGCGCTTGATGGCGATGCTGAAGTCATCACTGTCGAAACCGACTCCGGCAGTGTACAGAACGCACCCGATGCAGCAGCAACTTGCCGAGATACATCAAATGAGCTCCGGGCGTCTGGCGTAACATGACAACCGAGATAACACACACGCACAAATATACACATACACGCGCACAAGCACACACACATACATACACACACATACGTACACACACACAGAGTACACACACACACACACACGAACATACACACACACAGTACACACACACAGTACACACACACAGTACACACACACAGTACACACACACACAGTCCACACACACACACAAACATATACACACAGTACACACACACACACACACACACACACGTAAAGTTAATTGCACACTGTGTCAAGATTCTGCCAGGAATGCTGTCATTTTTAAAGGGCTTGGTAGTCAGTCAATGCTGAACGAGGTTATTGGGCTGATCACAGTTTTGATGACAAGAGAGGCATGGTTGGTGGTGGTGGAGCTGGTTATGTGCAAGCAGCTGGCAGGGCTAGCATTGGCAGAGTCTGACATTGTCGTTGTAACGTGGTGGTTTACCCTCCAATGTGCATATTTGTGGGCGTGCTGATCGTGCATGCGGTTGTTTCAACTGGGAGCTGCAGCGCATTGTCTGCTGTTTTGCATGATAAAGTTCTGTGTGTAGTTTTCACATCTCTGCCTGCAATACCTTGTTTTGTAGACAAACTGTGATTGTGATACTTTGACATGCACACCATATTGATACTGGTCTCGGACAGTTCTTTTTTAGATGTACCAACTGCTATACCACAATCATATCTATCTATTTTTATTTTTCATCATAGCCTAGGAGCTGTGGCATCATTTATGATCCACAGCAAGAAGGCAGCAATGCCTGTACCTATGGTGAAGTAAAATAAAGCTAACATAACATAACATTACTCAAGTAACGTCTTTTGCATCACTTCCGGAATAAAGTGCTCTTCACCGTGAGCGGGACTTCCGCAGCAGTTGGACAATATTGCTTTGGCCACCATTCATTAGCTTGCCTGTTCTTCTTAGAAAATCATTCCTTCTTTTTGCTACAGACGTGGATGAGTGTTTGACCAAGTGTTCTGACAGCAGTATTTCTCAATGCAATAACACTATGGGAAGTTTTACATGTACATGTAACATGGGATACAGGTTTGATGGAACCAACTGCATTGGTAAGCGTGTAACTCTTTTGAATGTCTTTAACGTGCATGCATTTGACACTGCCCCCCCCCCCCGTCAAAAACAGTCAAAATAGAGGTTCTCAAAATTCAGTACAGTATATGGATTTCTTTCCTGATCCCAGAGCTGCAACCTGTGTTCTGGCTTGTCACAAGAGGAGGCACAAGTGTGGGGTAGCCAACAGCAATAGTGTAGCAATAGGCAAGCACAAGTGCGGGTTAGCCTTGCGTCCACCCAGTCTTGATGCCAGCACAGGGCCACCAGCAGTAGTGTAACAAGTGCAGTGGCAGCATCAGAAAAAAACTTATGTGATATGTACTGAATCAATAGGATGGCCAGCATCCGCCGGAACAGGTTCGACGGCAGCACGATCAGCAGCTGAGTGACTTGTGCTATAAGCAAGCTGTGCAGATAAACGGATATGACATACTCATGCTGTGATACACTGTAGATAGATTTTTCAGAGCACTGTAGTAAGATGAGTGCATCATTGCAATCTACACTGATCATGTGCTGCTGGTTGAGACTGATGAACAACATTGAGCTTGTGAATGTGCTTCCTCTGTCTGTCTCGTTTGTTAGTAGCAATAATATAGTAGACCTTATTCGATAAACATCACAATCAAGCGGCAAGATGCCTGCACCCAGTGCACAGTGGACTCTGCGTGCAAACATGAGAGTAGAAAAATACCTATATTTTATTACTCCCTTGTACGAACTGGGCCTTTCTTGGCACTCGTTTCATGTACGCATGCCCTAGCTTACGACAAATCCCTGCAGGCGAGTTCAACAATCACGTTATCGTTATCGAGGTTTTTTTTGTAAAAAAAAAGCAGACTTCTTGGGCGTCAGATAGTTTGACTTACAAGAAGTCAGAGGTGAAAGTTGACCTTTTTTTCGTTCTTTTCAGATGATAACGAGTGTTTAACTCAGTGTAAAGTAACAGGATCCGAATGCAAGAACACAATTGGAAGTTTTATGTGTACATGTCTCACTGGATATACAGGAAACGGCTTCACTTGTGACGGTAAGTGTGCATCTGTTGAGTGAAGGTAATATAAGTACATGGGTATTTCTGAGCGTAAAGGCCATTCACAATATTCACTTTCTGCAATGCAACAAGCGGCTAAAACTGTGTTCACAACTGGCGCAGGTACGCGTGAAACCACGTGTTTGTGCGTATTTTGCTGGCTTTTAGGGCACCATGCGTACAGAAACGCGCCAAAATGGAAATTCCAACATGGTGGAATTTTCAGCGGATATTAAGCCCGCTCCAGCGTACATGCCAGTCACTTTGACTATCGGGGTCGAACAATTAGTACTCAAAGGTGTCCCGCACGCTAAATACAACTGGGATTGCTGTTTTTTTTGTGAAAGCTTGAGCGCACGTTTGGGTACGCATGAACCGCAAGCGTACCGCGTACACACGCCAGTTCGGAACACAGTACGTGCGACACTTCCAACATGTAACTGTCTGTCGCCTATTGGCGCAAGCAGTCGCAAGGTTGCGACGAACGACATACGACAACCGTCTAGTACTAGTATTTTACAAGTGCATCTCCACCCAATACGGACAGGAAGAAAATACAGCAATCCTGCAGCAGGCAGTGGACTCGCTGGCAGTGTGGGGAAGCAGGTGCAGGATCAAGTATATCCCCAGTAAGCCATGAACGGAGACCCTCTCAACTTAGGCCTCGGCCTTTGGGGAATTAAATAAAAAAATTAAAAAAAGTTCGAACCCACGAAGTTGTCAATCAGCCATCACCGCTCACCAAACCCTCTGACAGAGCAGCAGTCATGCCAGAAGTAGAGACTCACGACAGCCATCCAGAGCACACGAGGAGTCCATCGTACCATCCACTCGGCAAACTTGCAAGAAAGCATCACTCCCTGCTCAAAACTCAGTGTTTCGGGGAATTCACCCATCATTTAGTTGAGTAGGCTGAGGAAGATTGTGCCTGAGGAGCACCACTTACACAGTGCTCCTCAGGTACAACCATCACCAGAGATAAAAAAAACTTACAGAGCCCAGCGCAGGCTTTGAATTAGATGATTTCCAGGAAACAATGGTGTGAATGGCCAACGGTCCTCAGCGCTTGTTCAGCACCTCCATGGGTGACACTGACCCACCCTGCTATCTGGTGTTCACTAGGTATGTGTTGCGCTGGAAACGGAGAGTCTTACATGTGATTTCTAACGACAACGAGCAGAAAACAAGTGCTTGAGAACTAAGAGATGTAACGTTCTGACCGCCTTAGAGACATTATTACATATCATGCATGAAAATCTTCTTACAGGTCTACTCTCCATATAACGTAATCTCTGAGACCACGCAAAAATTATGTTATATCGAGAGTTATGTTATGTAGAAAACCGTGTGTAAAATACAAGATGCACCTCAAAATGAAGGGTATTACAAGGCGGGTTTAACCGTGCAAACATATACACACTGTACCACCATCGACATCAGATACCATCATAGCCGCAGAATATATGCACAATAGGACTAAACTGGCTAGCTACGGCTACAGCTAGATCGTACTGCGCACATGATTCTACGTTGTATCGAAAGTGCGCACGTCGGGGACCGCGCCATAGGGTGCGTTATGGGGAGGTTTACGTTATCTACGACTAAACTGGCCTAAACTGCCTAGCTACAGCTACCGCTTGATTGTAACGTGCAGGTAAAAGAATTTAGGTTGTATCGAGAGTGCGCACGTCGGGGACCGTGAAGTCGCGTGTGTGAATGTCGAGGTTTATGTTATGTAGGATTATGTCGTGTAGAACAAAATTTGTATGGAAGTGATGCCGTTTCGGCGCAGGATTTGATATTTTTTACTTACTAGCGAGGTTTATGTACAAGTGAGAGTTGTTATATCGAGAACAGACCTGTACCTTTCTTTCTTGGTTTCCTAAAATACCCCATGTGTTTTTTTTTCCTTTTGCAGATGTCGATGAATGCTTGACTATGTGCAAAGGCAATGGGACCAATTGCACCAACACAGTTGGGAGTTACAAATGTGAATGCCAAACGGGATATAATGGAACTGCACCTTCTTGCACTGGTTAGTACACTGGTCAGCAGTTTGGATCCGCTGCTCTGTTCTGAGAAGCAGTGATCCCTCTTTCAATGTGTCTTTTACTCCAATTTTGACTTTTTCCAAATATCCCCGATATTGAGAGTCTTTGGACCAAACGATAAATTCTACATTTTTCTACTTCGAAGTAACGAGAGAGCTTGGAAGCTCAGGGCCCTACGCTATGCTTTTATGCTTTTTTGCCTAGCTCATCGTACATGTTATGAGAACTGATGGAATTGTCTTTTTCCGTTCATTAGATATCCTTAGGTAAAAAAACGCAAACCTTTCCGTACTTCGGATCGTTCAAGCTGACTTTTCCCTTAGCACAAAGTACGTTATAGTTGAGACGAAGTAGTCGTGACAACCATGGCGATATGAATTTCCGTGGAACAGGTGCGGGAAATTCAAAATTTTGAACCAGGGATTAGTTTGCTGTCGTTCCGAAAGAATACCTTGGCGAGGTATTTTACTCTGGAATAGCAAAAGCACGGCGAACATGAGTTTTCGCTGTTCCCAGGTCCTTGGAAACCCTTTCCTAAACGCAGCACCGAAGACTGTAAGGGTTCTCCAGCTCCAGCACGTCTGGGAGAGGCCGATGAATTTCTTCCTCAGGAGTGCCGTGGAACTGGTCCTTTGTTTCCCAGATGGGATAGAGGGAGAAAGGCACGAAGCAGAGGACGCAGAAATTGTCAACTGAAAGGCAAAACTCGCCAAAAAGCTAAATGTCACAAGAGGAAGCAATCACAACTCTCGATCTCATCTCGATCTGCACGACGTGCTTTTTATCTCCCGCCAGTTACAAAACAATGCGAGTTTTTGAATTTTTTGCAGAATTTCCATAACGAACGTCGGCCCGTTATTTTGAGCTCTGTAACGTTTTTCCGTTATCCGATAACGTCTTTTGTCACGGCTGGGAGTGAGTACCATAAAAGTTAGCGTTATCGTACTTTTGCTAAGGATGTCTAGTGGCCACATCACTGTATTGCAAAAACGTTTCAATCGGTTTGAATATTATGAGTTAGGCAAAAGTATTTGCAGAATTTATTGCGGATTGTTGTTTCTCTAATAATCATCTACTTTTGTTTTGCTCCTTCTTTAATTTTTATCTCCTTATATTGTAAATCAACAAATTTTGGCCGATGAGAAATAGAAACCTCTCGATTAGAGAGGTTAAGATGCACGTTATTTCCGACGTGACGCGCAGTTTCACGTCAAATTTGAAATCGATCGGTATTTTTGCTCTCACATGCATCCATGGCTCAATCATGCATCATTTGCCTATATGACAAACGTTGGCCTGCGATTTACTTTGTCCGGTTGGTACCAAGCGGCGAAATCAGCGAAATTAAATCGCCAGGGAACATTAGTTGATTTTATTACATTAATCGGATTTTCTGGCCTTTTTGTAGTAATACATCTACATTGACCTGTTGAGCCAATGACGCCGCCGAATGCATGGTTGTCTGAGGAGCACATTACATAACTTTACAGTCTCCTAAAATACGTATCCTGTCCGACGGCAAAAGAGGCTGCAGATTTAGTTTTTCTGCGCGTCGACGGGATGTCTGCGACGCGAAAGTTCAGCTCGCGTTATTTGGCTCGCACGTCGAAAAAATCAACGCGAGTGACCTGCTGCTCACGTCGAAATTTGGACATTACATAACTTTGCAGTCTCCTATATAAATACGTATCCTGTTCGACGGCAAAAGAGGCTGCAGATTTTGTTTTTCTGCGCGTCGACGGGATGTCTGTCCTGACGTTTACTGGGACCGGCGCTGACTCTGCCGATCACGGCGTTCTGGACTCGACGGGATGTCTGTCCTGACGTTTCCTGGGACCGGCTTAGACTCTGCCGATCACGGGCGTTCTGGACTCAACGGGATGTCTGTCCTGACGTTGCCTGGTACCGCCGGACTCTACCGACCACGCGCGTTCTGGAGTCGACGGGATCTCTCTTCCGACGTTTCCTGTGACCGGCACTGAATCGCTTGTTCACGCTTATTTTGGAGACGACGGGATCTCTCTTCCAAAGTATGTTTATGCTGACGCATCCTATCACCTTATCGGCGTCTATTCTAATTTAATTTCCTCCTCGTCTCCCTATTTCTTTCCAAATCCCACTCTACATCAGGGAGTCGTATGCATAATACGACGAATATTGGTACGGTACGGGACAGATACAGGAGCCCGCAAATATTGTGGACAGCTGTTATGTACAATCCTGTAGAGCCTTTGTAGTCACAGATACGGGACAGATACGGGACAGATACGGGATAGCGCCAGGCGTGACACAAACAAACAAACAAACAAACACACAAACAAACAAATACCAAATTAAAGCTGTGTGGACCCTGGCTAGCGCCAGTTGTTACTGAAGTAACGTCTTCTGCATAGCTACGGGAATAATCTCAAACTACCGTAACTTGGTCAATTCTCAGTTGTTTGGGGAGAAAAAATATATAGGAAGAAGAAAAAACACTCAGCTGTCGTCTCGAACAATTACCGAACCGATAGGATGAACGGTGAGTGAGTTACTACACACGTAACGTTCATCACGGTCAATTGGCGCTCAGGCCGCAATGCGTGACTGAACAGACAGGATTTTCCCTGAACTCGTCGGCTGTTGACAATGATACACTCATTCAAATTTGAACAGAGTTTTCTGCAAGTGCCTTCAAAAAATCAGCTTCATACGATCGAGGAAAGTGAAATAGCAGTTGGAGAACGATCTAGAGCGCGAGCCTTACGCTGAAACGCCTTTGCTGGCTTGCAGCGCTGGTCAAGCACATCTCGTGGACTCGAGTTTGAGCTCATCGTATTCTCGTTAGGGGCTTTCCAGGATGACCAAGATGATGACAATTGTCCCAGGGAAACTAAAGTTACGTCCAATTCAAGGTAAAGAATTTGAGGCCACAATTCTTCACATACATTGAAACAGTTCATTCTGAACTCCTCCAGCCTGTTGCGAATGGGAATAATAGTTGAGAAAGTAGTACTTGTACTTGTACCTGGTTGATTGACCCATGTGTGTTAATCTATTCCCCTTATAGATATCAATGAGTGTAACAGCATGTGTGTTAATCTATTCCTCTTATAGATATCAATGAGTGTAACACCATGTGTGTTAATCTATTCCTCTTATAGATATCAATGAGTGTAACAGCATGTGTGTTAATCTATTCCTCTTATAGATATCAAAGAGTGTAACAGCATGTGTGTTAATCTATTCCTCTTATAGATATCGATGAGTGTAACACCATGTGTGATGATAGTACATCGTCACAATGCAACAACACTTTGGGAAGTTATTCGTGCACTTGCAATCCTGGATACACTGCTGATGGGACTACCTGTGCAGGTTAGCAATGGTGTATAGTGATTCACTCAGTGTGTTCGATTGGGCACGCGAATTGATTCATGAATACATTCATGAATCGATTCGCGCTATTCACATCATCCCATGTGAATAGGGTGAATGGATTCTGAATCGATTCCAGGGCTCATAACATGAAATCGAACGGCGAGATTCCATTCATGAATCGATTCAAGTGCGTAATCAAACGCACTCACTGTGTTTGTGTGTGTGTGCGTGTGTCTGTGTGTGGGTGGGTGTGTCACGCACGTACGTTTGTGTGTATGTGTGTATCCACCAAAAATGCATACATAGTATCCTGCGTGTTTCCTGAAAACAACAAAGGGAGGAACGCATAACCTTTGAGCGTTTTTGTTTTGTGGGATCCATCGATATTATCCTAACGGCTTCGGAACCGGAGGGTTGAGTGGCTTGGCCATGTGTCACACTAGCCGATTTTCATGTGCCCAAGCAGCTTTTGCTTTGCTTTTTACCATCGCCTCGGCCTACGTATGTTCCCCGGCTTCGCTGGAAGAATGTGATTTTGTCTGATCTTGAGCACATCGGCATTGCACATCTGGCCTGGTAGGAGATCGTTCAAGCTCTTTCTGCTTGTCAGGTATCTGCCATTTTGCCGGGCCTCGCCAGAAAGCACCCTGACCAATCTCAGCGTGGGGACTGTAGTATCTGCTATCGCTCATTTCGTCAGCCAGGTGGCAAAGCAAGGCACAAATGTAGCTCAAAGAGACGTCTCTCTATTAGGAGCATCATGGCATGCGATAAGCTACCAAATACAGATCCACAATGTGGTCAGCATGCTCCTCATCTGTGTACCAACTAGACATGCTTGATCCAGTCCAGACCAACAGGCGCTTTTAAATATACCTTGCATTCTCTCTTGAAAAATAAGACTCGGGATAACATGTGAATCGATGTCCACGAGACCTGCCACCCTTGCCTCAAAAGGCATGTGGTTTCTCCATTTCTCATGCCATCAAATTAAAAAATCAGGCAAAACAAGCAAGTTGTAGTGAAACAAATCGACTGGAAGCTCGGGTATAACAATAAATCATCCAATCCTTATGTTAAACATGCACTTCCTCCGCGTCAATAAAATGGTCGCTTCGCACATTGCAATATTTGTGACTTGCTCGTCTTAGTCCGACTGTCAGAATCGCTGTTTTCTGTGTTCGAACATTGGTGCGACCCTTCCTGCGCAATGTTGACTTGGATTTTGTCGGAGCTCTCTTCCGCACCAAACAAATTCATCGCGCTCCGCACTATTCCACCCCAAAGCAAGTATCGTTCTTTTTCTGGAGTTTGTGCCTTCGCATATCGTTCGCGCGGGCATTTATCGACTGGAAGCTCAGGTACAACAATTCTGGTGTCTCTCCTGAATATGAAATAGCGGTCACGTGCTCATGTGTACACCAGTCGCCTGGTCACTGTGCCTGCAGAGTACAATTTTCACATCAAGATTCAACTCAAAGGTTCAAAGCAGGGAGTCGTAAGAGGCTTTTACGACTCCCTTGTTCAAAGGTTCAACTCGAGTGACATAAACGGGCCCAAACAGGCTGTAAATGAGCAAGTGACCGCTTACTCAACCGTGTTTGATTGGGAATGAGGGCCGAATGCTGCATCGCAACCTTTTCGGACCAAAACCAGTCGACTCAGCGGCCAAAAGACTACAAAATATGGACCAATCGCGGTCATCCGCGCTTTTATAAGAACGAAACGGCGTTTTTAGTGACTTTTTCCATACAAATCCCTATCTAGCAGGGCGCAGTCACCCAGTTTCGGTGGAAGTGCGCAAGTTCAATTGAAAATAAAGGAGGAAGGGAGCGTCTCAGCTTCCTCGGACCAAGACCATTCGACTCAGCACCCCGAAGACTACAACAGGTGAAATTTTGGTTTTTGGGTATACTTCCCCTTTAAGTACTTCCTCCGCGTCATCGAAATTGTCGCAGTTTGACTTTTGATATAAAAACGGGGTATTTACTCACCAGCACTCGTACCAGAGGCAGGGAATGGGATATAGGCGATAGTCATCAGTATAGGGTGACGGTAAAGTTCTATTTTCTATTATTGGAAGCTGGAATTTTTGAACTAGACGCAATTTCTTCGCTGATGTCGCTGCGATGGTAATTTCGACTCGCGGAGATCAATCAGGCGTTGCAGCCTGCACATTTCTCGTGCTTATGGCCATTCACTCAAGCCTCATCACTGTTTTACCTTAGCTGGGGTGAGAATGCCCTTCGTGGAACAAGTGGCAGCGCTTGGAGAAACATCGAGGGGTCAGCAAACTAAATGCCTGCAACAGCGATAAAATTTGTCGCTCTGGTTGAGACACTCAGTACATGATTGTACCTGCAAGAGTCGTGTAGACTCTACACGTAGTGTTAGTGATGCACGCGCAGGTGCCGTACCATGGTATACCAGTGATGCTGATACCAGGGCGCGCTGGACGCGATAGTAGTACACTTACCTGAGCTGCATGAGCTGTGACCAAACAGCTAAAATAAATGGGCATGCCACGGCTAAAACAAGTTCATTTCAAGATCGAGGTGATTCCGCCGACGGTAATCAACCGACCTCGCAACGATCGTGTATTCTTACTAGGCTTCGTTGGTGGTGAAGTAGAAATCATCCAGAGCTAGCAGACGACAAGCATAGCAGCTCTTGTCCTGTGGAGAAAGTCAAAGCGTTTGAGATGAGGCGCGACCAACTTTCAACCTTCTTTGAAATATTTCGGAACGATATTTTTGCGTCCATTGACATCAGCGACGACGAGGACTTCATCTCTGCATGAAAACTCTCAGTCCAACTGTTCTGGAACGTTACTCTAGTCTTCAGACTATCATACTGTGTAATATGATTTGAATGGCTTAGCTTATGGAGTTGTCAGTAACAAGTAACAAGTCACTAGTCAAACTGCGACAATTTCGATGACGCGGAGGAAGTATTAAAATTGATTTATCCATCGTTAGGCAATCATTTTTTATATCTATGTTTCGCGTCAGTTCAACTTCCAGAATCATATGCGAGAGGTGGAAAAAAATAGTTGCAAAATAATAAAAAGGCTCATCAAATCTGCGGAGGTGTATGCACTGTACATAGCACAATAGCTCGTGCATGGTGTACATTCGAAAGAAAATCGTACATCGAAGCACAACATCTGGGTTATCGGCATGAATAAATATTCACTTTGGACAGAGGAGGCAACCGTTGGTGCCTATGCTTCGCTGTATTATTGTACTCAGACTTCAGCAGCGGTGCAAAGACCTCCGGAATGACGCATCCTCTCAGCTTGAGGCGATCAATGCTGTCTGGTGTTAGCTCATAGAATATTGCTCCCAGATGCCGAACAAAAGATTTACCAACGCTGGCCTAAAGGCCATTTCTGAATCTCAGCTTCGCCGTATGCAACCAGTCCACACTGATGACTTGCACGATCGTACACTCACCGTGCATGTAAGATTTTTTATTTTTTCCGAAAAAAATCAAAACGTATGCGTGCGGACGACGCGAAACATAGCTATAAAAAATGATGGCCTGAAGCTAAAGGGAAATTAATACGTGAAAACCCATGATCGCTTCAACCCTAGTTGGACGCCCTTGTTCTGCCTACAATTCGTCAGATAACGTTGTTTTTATTAGTGCAATTAGGAGTATAATCGATGCAGACATGGCCAGACAACAACGAGTTCATGGAATTTTTAAGGATTTTTATGTTATTCAAAATCGATTTTCGTGTTCCGCTCATCAGTGAATAGTATCGGAACTGAGGGTACTGTGTACAACAATAGAACATTTTATAACAGCAAAATTAATTAAAAGTGTGAACAACAAAGGAAGTGCTACAGCATTACATAATAGGTGTCAAACATAGTGCTAACGTCTGCATCGATTATACTCCTAATTGCACTAATAAAATTGCTTTCTCCACGCCGACTCTTTAAAAACGTTATTTTTGTTAACTATTAAAATTGATTAATCCATCGTTAAGCTAAAGAGTAATCGATAGTTGAAAGCCCACGGTCGTTTTAATCCTAGTTTGGATGCCCTTGTTTTGCCTGCAATTCGTCAGATACCGTTATTTTTGTTAACTACTAAAATTGATTAATCCATCGTTAAGTTAAAGAGTAATCGATAGTTGAAAGCCCACGGTCATTTTAATCCTAGTTTGGATGCCCATGGTTTGCCTGCAATGTCAGACACTATTTGTTAACTATTAAAATTGATTAATCCATGTTTAAGCTAACGAGTAATCGATAGGTGAAAACCCATAACCATTTTAAAGCTAATTTCTGACGCCCATGGTTTGGCCCGCACTGTCAGATTTTTTCACTTCACTTTACTTGGAATGCACAATTTCATTTCCTAAATTCACTTATAGGCACATCTACGCTTGAAGAAATCACTTTAGCCCCAGTTTTGAACCAATCCGCAACAAGCACGTTAGCCCCAACTTTGAACCAATCTGCAACAAGCATGTTAGCCCCAACTTTGAACCAATCCGCAACAAGCACGTTGAACCAATCCGCAACAAGCACGTTAGCCCCAGATTTGAACCAATCCGCAACAAGCACGTTGAACCAATCCGCAACAAGCATGTTAGCCCTAGCTTTGAACCAATCCGCAACAAGCACTGTAGCCCTATTATCAGATGGTGGTGCGGACCCAACGTCATCTGTGCCTGATATTGGGGAAACCCCCGCCCAATCCGGCTCAGTTATGAGTACTGGGAGCACGACAACTTTCAACAGCACATGTAAGTAATAAATTAATAACTCCTCTTTCCAAGTTGATACAAGATTGTGATGGGGTAATGGTGATGCTGGATCTCACACTAAGTTTCACTGATTTACTTTTTTCACTTCACTTTGCTTGCAATACCCAATTTCATTCTCCAAATCCACTTATTGGCACACCAGTTCTTGCACCTGCACCCTTAGGACTCCAAGGACCCAATGGCGTATGTGCCCGATGTTGGGAAAACACCAGTCCAATTTCACTCTGTAATGACTACTGTCAATAAAACTAATAACTAATACTAAACTGAATTTTTGATTTTTTTCCAAAAGGAATGTCTTCGCTAAAAATTTGCATGTCCAGTACGGTACCAGTAATCTAATTTGTTTTAACCCTGAAACTCGCACCTCTAAAATATTATATTTCATCGCTAATTGGTAATTGGTTCTGATTCAGAAATGGATAAATTTGTTAGCCGCTAAATTATCCTCTTTACAGTACTGGGAGTACTACAACTGACAGTAAGACATTTAAATGAGAATAATGGATAATAATAATAATAATAATAATTGTACTCAGATGGAGAGCCAAGTTATGTTAGAACCTTCCAAGTTGGAACATGGCCAGCAATCGAGGACATCTGAGAGTTGTAATTTTTGTACTCCTCCGAGGTGTGATTTTTGGCGTGCTGGGCCAAGCACAAGAAAGCCATCTGCCAAAAATGAAGAAAATGGTTGTATCCTTTGGTATAAACTTTGTAGCTAGTCGAAGGAAGCTGCTGTTTGGAGCAGAAACGCTGATATTGACTATTTTCGGCATGTACTCCTGCATGTACTCAGGTACTCAGGCATGCAGTCTCACTCGTATTTTAGCTCTTTTTCTGAAATGGAGGCTGCTCTGCGCCCCTCAGTGAACATTTCCTGCGCTCGTGGAGCAGCTGAAAAGGACCACTGGTATGTCTGGTTCCTGGTTTGAAAGTGGAGAGTCGACTTTTGTGCCTTGATAAAGGTAGAGTCAGACCTCGCTTAACCGAACACATCTGTTTTCCACAAAAATATCCGGATAGGTGAGGTAACCGGATAACTGAACACACATACTGTATATGCATGTGGCATGTCAAAAGCAGTGACATTGTACATACATGTAGACGGGTCCTATGCAGTACAACTAGCGTGCACAGTATGTAAAACAAGCGAGAAGAATGACAAGTGCATGCAACTGAGTGCTGTCCACATGTACCCAGCAGGTCGAGGACCTCATTTGCCTGTACAACTCCCTGATTCTAGCTTCTACAAGGCACATGCAACCGGATACGACGAAGCCTTTTGTACACATTTCAACCAGTTTGTACACAAAATCATGCACCGGTATGCGGATCACGAGGTCCGGTTATGTTGTATGCATAACATATGCTGCACATCGGTAACCAGCGATTTACTTCCGGATGGCGAGGGATCCGGATAAACGAGGACCGGATAAGCGAGGTCTGACTGTACGTCGGTAGCTTATTTTGAGTGCTCCTCGTACAATTTTGATCGTGATAGAGATTCTCAGACCAAAGTCATCGCGAAGATGGCCGTACAGTATTCTTGTGCATTTTTTAGTTGTTTCGTCTCGTATCTATGTCAGCATCGTGATGGTGAAGTGGAGGGGGTGATTTACTTCCTCTGGGCTTCGTTCGGCCGACTTTGCTTCGTCCTCGTTGAAAAGTGATGCTGAAAAAAAAGGTCGATTTATAGCAAAATTATGTTTATTTTGAATGTACGTGATGACATGCGATTGCTGGCTATGAGGCTGTTGGAGTGTGGATCCAAGATGTGCTAGAGCTGTTAGCCAGTTAGTTGTAGAACGTCAGTACTGTCGGCCAGTGTCGTGCAATGGTATCGCATGAGCTGATTCTTTAGTAACTGGTGGTGTTAGTGGACAGTATAGCGTAACTTGTAGTTCCTTGGTCTTTGTCTTTTGTATAATTAATAATTATTAGGGCTGAAACGATCATGGATTTTCACGTATCCAGTACTCGATTATAATCAGAGTCATCATTCTGTGCAAACATTACTCTGTTTCCACAAACTATGCCTTCATAATACCAAAAAAATCTGCATTAGTGAAAGGGTAGTTCCGAAACATGGCAGTTTTGAAGTCAATTTAACCTCAGAACATGAACCATACCCCTGGCAACTGCATACTCCCAGCGGAAACTGGTTCAAACTTCACAAAACGAGGGTTTACAGTACTTTCTGGACACAAATTTAAAAAACGCAAAATAATCGTAATCGGTAATCTAAACGATTGCTCGATCGTTAGAGTTATCATACGAGTACTCGGTATAATCGTTTCAACCCTAATAATTATTATAATTATTATTATAATTAAGCGACGAGGAGACAATAATTTAATGATTGCAATGAATAATATTAGTTCCACGGTCATGCCACACAGCAAAGAAGTCTAAAAGAGGTTTAATCAAAATCGATTTTCTTGTCTCTCTCTTCAGTGGATTTTCGTGACTAAAGAATAATTCCTACAGCAGAGGAAAAATGATTTTTGGAGTGATACAATTTTACAAAAAAGGGCTCAAAAAAAGGAGCGTGAACAACGACTTGAGATAATAGTTATGAGCCATATACGGTAACACAAAAATAAGCAATGTGCGAACTTACGAATAATAACTTTAGTGCTACTACATGCTTCTTATGCCTACACAGAACTGGCTTATACAGACGAATACACACAGCTTCAAGCACCCGAAATTGTCGAGCATATCGTGCGCGACAAAGTACGGTGAAACACAGACTTCTGATTATCACCATCTTCCTCCAGCTCCTCCGTCCCAACGCTGCCGTCGTCGCCAATCTCATCATGACCGTCCGCATCACCTCCTGTCCATCTCATCATCCAGTTCATCGTCATATTCCTTGTTGATTCTCTCTGTTTTTCCTTTTTACTCCATTGTTCAGTTGACTCCGCCTTTTGACTCCTCCTTTGAACAGTACGTTTGGTGTCTCGCTCAGGAACAGCGAAGGTCACTTTAGTTCCATATTAGAGAGATTCCGGGGTACGATTTTCCGTGCCAAAATCCGTATGGGCGCTACGGATTTTTTCGAGGCGTGCTCCATACGATTTTTGGCGCAGAGAATCCGTGCGGACTGGCTTTCATACGAACCATGTTTCGTATGGAGATTTTGCGTCATCGGGTGCAGAAAGATTTTCGCATCCAAATTTGGCACGAGAAACATCGATTTTCCGCGGGAGGTTTTAATTTCGGTTCAAATGTTCATAATAACAAAGCATAGCGCGGAAATGTGGCGTGTTTGCGATCGTAACCTTGGCAATGACAGCAAACACACAAGTTCCGTACTCCGGAACATTTCACTGCTCGAAAACGACGTACAAAAGATCCGTAGAAACTCCTCCACGTCATCTAATTACCCACTGATGATGAGAGTAAAATAATATTTAACTCCATGTCATCTAATTATCCACCGATGATGAGAATAAAATAATATTTAACTCCACGTCATCTAATTATCCACTGATGATGAGAGTAAAATAATATTTAACTCTTTGTCATCTAACTATCCACTGATGATGAGAGTAAAATAATATTTAACTCCACGTCATCTAATTATCCACTGATGATGAGAGTAAAATAATATTTAACTCCACGTCATCTAATTATCCACTGATGATGAGAGTAAAATAATATTTAACTCCATGTCATCTTATTATCCACTGATGATGAGAGTAAAATAATATTTAACTCTTTGTCATCTAATTATCCACTGATGAAGAGAGTAAAATAATATTTAACTCTACGTCATCTAATTATCCACTGATGATGAGAGTAAAATAATATTTAACTCCACGTCATCTAATTATCTACTGATGATGAGAGTAAAATAATATTTAACTCCATGTCATCTAATTATCCACTGATGATGAGAGTAAAATAATATTTAACTCCATGTCATCTAATTATCCACTGATGATGAGAGTAAAATAATATTTAACTCTTTGTCATCTAATTATCCACTGATGAAGAGAGTAAAATAATATTTAACTCTACGTCATCTAATTATCCACTGATGATGAGAGTAAAATAATATTTAACTCCACGTCATCTAATTATCCACTGATGATGAGAGTAAAATAATATTTAACTCCATGTCATCTAATTATCCACTGATGATGAGAGTAAAATAATATTTAACTCCATGTCATCTAATTATCCACTGATGATGAGAGTAAAATAATATTTAACTCCATGTCATCTAATTATCCACTGATGATGAGAGTAAAATCATATTTAACTCCATGTCATCTAATACAACTTTCTGCGACGCGACATGCGACTTGCGACATATGCGACGAGCTGCGGCAGCGACACACGGTTCACAATATTCTTCATGTTTGCGACGGCCTCATGCGCACAAGTAATACTATGCACGTGCACTGAACGTGCACCCAGGGTCGGGACTGTACTCCATTTGTGTATGTCGCGTGTCGCATGTCGCAAAAGTTGAATTTTCTTCAACTTCTGCGACAGGTGCATTGCGACAGCTTGCGACAGCTCGGGACAGGCAGTTTCTTGTCGCAACTGTCGCAAATCGCGTGTCGCGTCGCAGAAAGTTGTATTGTGAATCGGCCTTAACTTGTTACTTTGTTGACCATACTAGAAAACTGAAAACTTTAGCAGAATAGCAATGAAAAATATCAATTGTGCACTCATAACCATGTATAAACAATTAAAATGAAACAATTCCAGAACGTTTTCGTGTGACTATCATCAGTGGAACATCGTCACATAGTAAGAATCACTAAAACAACCAGTTTTACAGCTAGAGTAATATGAAAAGAAGCGTGAGAATGCAGGACAGCTAGCGGTTATGCATAACGCGTGTAGTGTGACCCTTTGCAGTGTATCTGAGAATGGTAGCAGTATGGACAAAACTGGTGAGTGCGTATTATTTGAAAAGTGTGAGTGTTACAACATTTTCATTTTGCTTGCATAAAACAGGGTCACATAATACGCACTCACCAGTAATGAAATAAACTATGTGAGCACTCATATCACAAGTATAGCAACAATTGAAAGTTTTCTGAACGATATCTTGCCACAATTATCAATGTAATTCCTGACTGATGGAAATGATAAAACTACAACTTGCATGACAGCGGGAAGAGGAGTATAGAAGCGGAGTGTGCAGCGACGATGAAAACCCAGGTGATCTGTTACATGTACTAGGAGAGTTGAGCTTGACAGGTGAAGGTGGTAATGATGATGAGGATGATGATGGTGATGATGATGATGATGATGGCGAGCAGGACGGTGGTGCTTTAGGGCCCGGTGGAGGCAGAGGCAATGAGAAGAAGTGATTGTGTATCAACAACAACAACTTTATACGTAATGAATGGCCAGATTCTACAAAACGTTTCTTCAGAATTCCCAAACTCCATTGCAGCGTATTTCTTGCACTTGAAAACACCGCCAATCCGGCAACAGGCTCTCAGCTGCACCAAATAAATAACTTTGCCAATATTTCGCGCTGAAAAGTTATTTATTTTGTACAGCTGAGAGCCTGTTGCCGGAAGGGCGGTTTTTCAAGTGCAAGATTCTACAAAATCTTCTTTTTACTGTACTGTGTCAGCGAAGGATGTACCCAACACCGCGGAGGCAGAGCGAAATACAGAACAACAAGGACAATCAAGGCTTGTTTGTTGCTACTTCAAGTTTCATGCTCTCACGAGCATCAGCCCCCCCCCCCTCCCCTCTGTTACCTGATGATTGCGAGAGTGTGAAACTTGAAGTAGCAGCAAACAACCCTTGACTATCCTTGTTGTTCTGTACTCTATTGTGTCTATGATTTTCATGACGGTGAGAAAGACAGCCACCATGAGGCTGTGCATGTTGCTGGTGGTCGGTGACATCATGCGCACCTTCTTGTAATTGTTTCGTTTTTCAAAGAGTATGATAGGCAAGCACTCGTTATTCCTGCACTACTTAACTTATGACCCATACGACAAGTCAGCTGAAAATTGGTATGCTAATTGCAAGAGTACATACTCCCACTCCTGCCTTTGATGTCAATCTGTTGCAGTTTTGGAAATGACCATGTGCAGAAGGGTTTGCGTAATTTGTATTCACCCAGGCATGTTGATTTGTGTCCATGCATATGTGTGTTTGTGTGTGTGTGTGTGTGTGTGTGTGTGTGTGTGTGTGTGTGTGTGTGTGTGTGTGTATGTGCATGTGTTTGTGTGTGTGCGTGTGTGTATGTGTGTGCATGTGTGTATGCGCGCTGGTATGTTATTGTGTGTGTGTGTGTGTGTGTGTGTGTGTGTGTGTGTGTGTGTGTGTGTGTGTGTGTGTGTGTGTATGTGTTCTGGTGTGGTGTCCTTCATTTGACTTTGTTTGACTGGAGAAGTGGATATTCCTAATGGAAAGTCAAGTTTAACCGGTGGTCAAGTGGCAGGCCTAGTAATAGGCACCTTGTTGCTGGTCGCATTGATTGGAGGCATTGTCTTCACTCTTGTGAAGAAACAGTCTCCTGGATTTGGGTAAGTTCAAGTTGCATTACTTCACTATGTCTCTATAGCATGGGAACGTTGGGAGGATAAAGGTTAACCCTTGCAGCAGTAAATATCACCTATGAGATTTGGGCAGGGTCGGTGGTCTGTTGTGCAGGCGGCACTGCTGAATCTGCGATGGTGGGAACATATCTGCACGCATCACCCACCTTCTTAGCCGAATTTTGTTTAGAGCCCTCTCTCGAAGAGTGACCTCTGAAATCGTGCTCCTGTCTCGAATTGTTCCCCTGTCTCGAATAGTGCCTCTGTCTCGAATTGTGCCCCAGTCTTGAATTGTGCCTCTGTCTCGAATTGTGCCCCTGTCTCGAATAGTGCCCCTGTCTCGAATAGTGCCCCTGTCTCGAATAGTGCCCCTGTCTTGAATAGTGCCCCTGCCTCTGAGAGTCAATGATAAATAATTAAGAAACGAGAGAGCTTGGAAGCTCACGGCCCTACGCTATGCTTTTTTGCCTTGATGACCTAGACAAAAAAAGCATACGGATCTTATAAATTCATATAAATGTTTCCTTTTTTTTAAGACATGACCTGGGATTCGAACCCGCACTATAGCTCTGCATGCATCCCCGATACATTTCGCATGCATACTAATTCTTCCAAGTTGGTTCACGTTATGATCTTGAATTTGAAAGCCCTATTTGAATATGCATTGTGGCCAGCCGTCTTTGATGGCACGGTACGGTACGGGACAGGTACGGGACAGGTACAGTCGAGGGTAATACGACACCGTCTACCGCCTTGATGACCTAGGCAAAAAAAGCATAGGGATGTTATAAATTTTTCAATTCTCCTATTTTTTATGCATAACCTGGGATTCGAACCTGCACTATCGCGCTACATGCATTCCCCCATAGACTTCGCATCCATACTCATTCTTCCAAGTTGCTTCACGTTATGATCTTGCGTTTGAAAGCCCTATTTGAATATTGCGGCCAGCTGTATGTGGCCAGCTGTGTTTGATGGTACGGTACGGTACGGGACAGATACGGGAGAGCGCCAGGCGTGACACAAACACACAAACAAACAAACACCAAATTAAAGCTGTGTGGACCTCGGCTAGGGCCAGACGTTACTGAAGTAACGTCTTCTCCATAGCTACGGGAATTGAAGCCTCTGTCGTGCCTGCAGGTACACATCTATATCGCCATACTCTCATACCTTTTTACAAGTTTTCAGCTTAGAGAGCGTTGTGTAGGCTTGAATGTGTTTACCGCCAGGTGTGCTTTAACCACCGTATCGCTCCATGTCATTACTATTGTGCTATACATGTATTGGAGTTTTCAGATAATTGTGTTACTCGCATGCCATTATTCTGCTGCTATAGTTGAGTATGTCTCTTCCAGTTTTATTCAGTTCCAGTTTTGTCATTTTCTGTGTACTTGATCAATATGTTCTGTAGGAAACATATTTCTATGACAGAAATGAATGCTTAATGACTCCAACTGGAGGTAAGAAAACCCATGAGTTTATGACAGAGTACATGTGATCAGTTCATGCAGCATTTGTTTTCCATGTATACTGTAATAAGGTTGCAGACTGCTTCATCAGAAGTAGTCGGGGCAGGGAATAATGCACCCCATTTGCCACTCTACGTCGGTTATTTGTAATTGTATTTATCTAGAGATAGTGGGTATGCTCATATATACCGGCAGACAAAGGAGAAAGAGACAGAGAGAGAGAGACAGACATACAGACAGAAATACAGATGAACAGATGGACAGACAGAGAGAGAAAGAGAAAAAGAAAAAGAAAAAGAAAGTGAGCGATAAAGAAAATGAAGCCAGAATTTACACTTGGGGTGCAGAATCAGCAAGGACATTCTTACCCAGCTCAAGTTCACACTACCACAAGAACGTATGGAGCGGTGGAGAATTGTGGCAAACCACACATGAAGGGATTGCAGTACCAGAATGAACACGGGATGAAGTTATCAGTCCTCTTGCGACTTGAACAGACACAGCACTTTGATATGCTTCTTTTGTCGACATAGCTCTTGCTTCAAACTGCGTATGTACAGCGCTTCCAGAGAGGGCACGCACACGCGCGCGCGCACACACACACACACACGCATACATACACACACACGCACACACTACTACTACTACTATTGACAGCTGCCAGAAATGGCCACGCCGCTCCCCAAAGGGAGGTACTGTCAGAGAGGTTAGGGGAGAGGTAGGCAGTGCTTCAAATGGCGCTCCAGGTCCTGTCGCCTCCGAAACTGGCGACGCACATACACACACACACACACACACACACACACACAAGAGTATGTACAGCGCTTCCAGAGGGGCACGCACACACACACACACACACACACACACACACACACACGAACACACACACGAGCGTGCCCACGCGAGCCAGGGTGCGCATGCACATACACACACATGCACACACACACACACACACGCACACACACACACACATATGAGCCAGCGCACACGCACACATACACACACACACACACACACACACACACATATGAGCCAGTGCACACGCACGCACACAGAACCTTCCAAAGTGTCCCCTCTTACAGGTGCGAGCAAAGTCCCATTTAGAAGAACTTTTTTGAACTTTGCTCCCGGACTATGTTGATGATCAGGCCATTACAAAAGTTTTCTGAACTGATAAGGGAACTGTGTACCTTTATCATTTCAGATAACTTTAGTAATAATCTGCTTTGCAGAATGATCCGAAAACTCCTATGCGCTGTCATGCTGTTAGTTTGCACTAGTATAGATTTGACAAGCCAACAGGCAACAGCAAGAATGCATAAACCAGAGTGTGTGTGTGTGCATCCATATTGCATAAAACTAAGAGTACATAACCCCCCAGAGTGTTCAACGCCTGGTCCAGCTCTGCATAGGGTCTTGGTCGAGCGTAATCGGATCTTTGCGTCATAATACCGTACACTAGGCATCTGAGCGGAACCCGGGGAGTCACGGGTACTCTTGGATTAAAAACAATGGTGCCTTGCCTCGAGACCGGCCTTGCGCTGGTATGGAGTGCACGCATGACATCAGAAGATCCAATTACGATCGACCAAGACTTAATGCAGAGCTGGATCAGGCGTTGCACACTCTGGGGGGTTATGTACTCTTGATAAAACCAATGACGCGGTGATGTTTTTTAGTCTACGTCATCTGAATCATGAATCATAGAATGTGGTCTTTGGGTCGTTCATAAATGACGGATTTTTCATTGAATAGGGAACAGAAAGATGACGAACAATGGAGGAACTGAAAAAGAAAATGTACGAAAATGGGAAGGAACTAGTAAAAAAAGTGAAATAATTAGATAATAAGGTGCATCTAGCTAATCGATTTGAACTCGGATGTTGAGTTAAAGTAATCATGGATAAAAACAAAGGAGAAAATGTTACGAGTTATGATTAAAATAAATTAAATCAAATATAGTCATCGAGTGCTACAAAATCGCACAAAACTGACAAGGAAATTTTGCCTCATTCCGTGCTGCGGCCCACAGTTAATTGGGAACTCGTGGCCTGGCACGAGGGAAACATGGATGCAGTGAATGGAATTTTTGTCTTTGACCACATTGTGGGTCGCTCTGATCTACTTACCTCCTATCGCTTTATGAGCTGCATCTGTGCCTTGATCCTAGAGGGTGGTGGTGTTCCTGCCTTGATCCTTGAGGGTGGTGGTGTTCCTGCTTTGATCCTTGAGGGTGGTGGCATTCCTGCGGATGCGAACAACTAGGCGTCCAGCCAAGCCTCACGTGAACCGTGAATTTTTTTACCGTATGCCGCTATAAAAAATATCAGATTATGAGATTTTAAGGACATGTTGTGTGATTTTGTCCATAGGGCCTACTTTGTACAACAAATTTCAGAACTATCACCTGCTGCAATCTTCCATAGCTTCCCCAATTTGTGTTCGCATAAAAGTCATTGTGAGCATGGTGAAATAACAATAATGTCGCTGTTTTGCAGCTTATTGCGTGTCAAGTCACACCCTTACTCAGGAGGAAAGAGGCTATAGGGGGTATTTGGGCAAATTCCTGCTGTAGAACCTCCTTTCAATTCGGAAATGTGGTATGTCATTCCAAAAAACATGGAAAAAGAAGAAGAAAAAGTCGCTCATGACGGGCTCGAACCCATGAGCCGCAGAAAGTAATAATGTCTCCACTCATGATCTGCACAGAAGGATGCTGAGAAGACCAGTTTGTGACATCCAATTGAGCTACCTTAAAAATCCGTCCTTATGCAAAGTTGTGTATGACCCACTGCCCCCTCCTCTCTTTCCCATTACTTGTTCCTATTTCCCCCGTTCTTGTACCAATTAGAAAATTTTAAACGAACTGCGTCCATTTAAGTACCTTATTTTTACGGGTTGTAAGTCGACCCCGGTTATAGGTGGACCCCCGTATCCGGAGGTCTCAATTCTGCGTTTTAAAGTGTTCACCCAAAGAAGCACTACAAACCACCTCCTGCTACTAACACATCAAAAAATCATGTCAACATGTCAACATTACTTAATTATAAGTTTCCGTGCATGGCACGGTCAGTGGAGTTAGCAACACACCAACATCCTTGCCATAAGCAACACTTGTACATGCATAACATGCATGCACTTCGAATTCCCGCGTTTCCGCACGGGACTGTGCGGAGCATGCGCATTACTCCAATTTGCCATGCTGTTGTTTCTTGCTCTTCGCTTTGCTGTGCTGACGGTAAAATTGTTTGACAATCGCAGCCAGTTTCTGATCACCACCACCCACCCCATCATCTCTCACTAGCATTCCATTCGAAACCATCCCGAAAGGGAGAACAGTAAGGATCGTGAGTCAGGCCGGCATTGAGCCAAGTGCGCCTATAATAGCTCGCAAGTGCATCATTTAAGCCATCCCGTAAGGGAGAACAGTAGGGATCGTGGGTCAGGCCGGCATTGAGCCAAGTGCGCCTACATTCGCCCACAAGTGCATCCCTACTGCATGCTCGTGTATTGACACATCTGAATTCAACAGTAGGGATCGTGGGTCAGGCCGGCATTGAGCCAAGTGCGCCTACGTTCGCCCACAAGTGCATCCCTACTGCATGCTCGTGTATTGACACATCTGAATTCAACAGTAGGGATCGTGGGTCAGGCCGGCATTGAGCCAAGTGCGCCTACATTCGCCCACAAGTGCATCCCTAATGCATGCTCGTGTATTGACACGTTTGAATTCTCGCCGGGCGATTGTTGCCCCAGTTAGTGTCGGCATTGGCCATACTAACGCACAGCGGTGCTTGCAATACTAGCTCTGGCATTGGACCAGAATATTGCATTACTGTATGCGGCAATTGTTGCCTATCTCCTGGTAATACAACGCGTAATAGCTCCCAAACAGGTCGGCTTGTTGTGTGGTTGGTAATGGAGGGTATAACGTACCAATCCTTGAAAAAAAATGCCAATAAACTGGCAACAATGTGTACACATGGTGCACTTGTGCATGCAGTGCAGATCATTTTTTGTAAGATACAGATAGTTCCCGGTTATAAGTCGAATCCCCGTTATAAGTCTACCCCCACCCTTTCTCCGTCTATTTTAAGTCGTAAAAGGTCGACTTACAACCGGAAAAATACGGTATATAAAAGTAAGATCTCACGTCTGTGTGTGGGGTACAAGTTGGTCAGTTGATCTACTGCCCATGCGTGTTCTACGTCATAGTGAAAGACTGCTATTTGCAACAATCCATCCTACACTACTCAACATAGTGCACCAGGTGTTAGAATAAATGCGAAAAAAATAATATTCCGCCCGCGTTCCTGACCAGCCACCCGCTGTTTTTGCATCAGGACGGAATTTTCCCAAACATTACGGGCGACCCTGGCATAACTGGAAAATACTGCTCTTCAGTTTACTAGTATATGAATATCTCTAAAGTTTAAGTTTATGACGGGATTTATGCCATTAGATACTGAACATAAATTCATAATGGAGTACAGTAAACAAAATAACATGCAAACTGGAACAGTAGCACAGTCCCTTAAAGTACTGCTGGTGGAGCTGCCCTTGAAAAGAGTTGTTCATCAGGATCTTATAAAATACAGCAATACTAACTTGCATTGAGACAAGGGCAATGTGTTGTGTTCATTTTGTTTGCAGTGCCGGAACAGTGGGAAGACTTTCTACAAGCCTTAGCAAGTGGAAAAAGCTGACGACCAGTTCCGGCCATTGTTAGCATTCCTGTAGTGTTACACCACGCATACACATGCATGCATATGTCAACACACCTATACACAATTATTATGCATGACTGTAAGAGGTAATAATCAGTACGCATTTCACACGATGTAACCTGATGCCTTGATTTCATTTCGTGTTGGTGCTTCTCTGTACTTTGATGCTACTTGCATGAAGCTAATCTTGGCCTAAGGATATGTTGGTAGGAAATATTGATAAGGAAACTTAGCATTGATTGAATTGAAGCATGCACGATTTCAGGTTTGTCTATTATGACGGTTTACCTCTCCTGGTGGTCCATCAGGTTTGTTGCCTTTGATTTATTGTCAATGTCGCTGCATTCAGCTTCAACAAAGTTGATAGTTTATTACTATTCGAGTGAGCATTCGTACAACACATAGTGCCTATAGTAGATGCATTTCCATTGATATCTGTGAAGGAGTATTTTCGTCGTGCATTATTGCATTTTGCCTCCAAGTCTGTTAATCAGTAATCGCAAACCTGTACTTTCGTTGATTAATGTCGCTGCACTCAGCTAGAACGCAGTTGGTTGTCCATTGATCGGAGAGAGCATTCTTACAGCACATAGTGCCTATCGTAGATGTAATTCCCCTGAAATCTGTGAAGAAGTATATGCTCTGTGCGCTGTTACATTTTGCCTCCGAGTACGTTAGTTTGTCATTAGGAGTCTATACTTTTGTTGATACAATAATATCGTTGCACTCAGCAAGAATAATTGATTTTCATCCATATTGGAGTGAGCATTCTTACAACACGTGGTGCCTATCGTAGATTCAATTCCACTGGTATCTGTGAATAAGTATAATTCTCAATGCACTATTACATTTCGCCTCCAAGTCTGTTGCTAGTAGTTTGCTATAAAAAAAATCGGGTACTAGTACTTCGAGATTTATGTGAGCGGTTGTGTTGTGGTTTATAGGGAGTTTCCCTATCATTAGTTTAATTCCAAGCAACTCGTACATGGCTGGGGCAGCCAATAGGGAGGTTTCGCTCTACGTAATTACGTATGAAAATCCGTATGTCGTCCACGCCGGGGAGCGAGGGCCGCTTTCATAAGTAAAACTCTCTACGGATTTCCGTTGGAAAGCTGTTTCCTACGTTACGGCCTCCGTAGGACTTTTTGAAATATTTTTCGCATTTTCAGGACTTGTCCGTGGCAAAGTTCAAGCCGCGCGAAACACAAGGTAGATCTACACACACCGTACATCACTTGCAAAATACGATGGAAAACGCGGTTTCGGTTCGTGGTGCATGCGGTGGGCGCATGCAGCCAACACGTCTCCAAAGCAACAAGGCATGTTTAGCAGTCGTGGAGAAATCACGTAGAGCAAAACCCAACAGCTCTGAATTTCACGTTTAAAAATTACGTGCAGTTTCTACGTTATTTTCTTACGTAATTCCGTGGAGCGAATCCTCCCTATTGATCACTTTGGAGTGGTGATTGCAGGGTTTTTATAACCAACCATGGCGTATAACCCTAATGGGGTATTCACACGACAGGCACTTGCACGTTTTACAGGGAGTGACATACGAGAAAAGTGACTGTGTGGATTCACACAGCTGCAATCGACGACAGGCACGTTTGCATTTTTGAATGTTTCACCGTGGGTATTTCAAATTTTCAAAACACGCACATGATGATTACTATGCTCTAAAAGAGCCGCGTAAAAAATCGAGTCTTGTTTCGCGCTTTTTGGTGTAACTAGAGAGTGCACGTTTTTTTGCCTTTTTTTTCAAAACGTGGTGCAAATCTCACGTAACATGTAATTTTTAGAGGTTAAGTTACACGTGCGATGTGACGTGGAATTTTGCCTCGCAGGATTCGGGTTTAGTTCGCACACATATCAAATCTTCCAACAAAATCGATAAAACTACGGAAATAATCTACGTGGAGATAAAAGTTTAACTGGGAAGGTTCTGCTCTACGTTTTGGGAACGCGACGCAAAGAATCACGCGAACTTTCTTCGCGTTTCCGTAACGTAAAGAAATGCTGTTCTGCTCTACGTTTCACCAAGAGTACATAACCCCCCAGAGTGTGCAACTCCCACATACCCTGTTGTCCCGACAGAATTTCAAGTTGACGTCATTATTTATGACGCAATGCTCCTTGCAGCAGTGATTTACAACATGTGTACGGGTGTCAACGCATCACACGTTTTTCTTTGCAATAATTTGTACACGATCGATCGGCTTCGGTCAACCACAGGCTCCGGATTCGTCTGATAATCCGTGTACAGTGCGCATTGCATCATCAAAATGACGTCAACTTGAAATTCTGTCGGGACAGCACCCATAGTGGAGTTGCACACTCTTGGGGGTTATGTACTCTTGGTTTCACCAAGAGTACATAACCCCCCAGAGTGTGCAACTCCACTATGGGTGCTGTCCCGACAGAATTTCAAGTTGACGTCATTTTGATGATGCAATGCGCACTGTACACGGATTATCAGACGAATCTGGAACCTGTGGTCGACCGAAGCCGATCGATCCTGTACAAATTATTGCAAAGAAAAACGTGTGATGCGTTGACACCCGTACACATGTTGTAAATCACTGCTGCAAGGAGCATTGCGTCATAAATAATGACGTCAACTTGAAATTCTGTCGGGACAACAGGGTATGTGGGAGTTGCACACTCTGGGGGGTTATGTACTCTTGGTTTCACCTAGAGAAGTCACGTGGAATATGTACTGGGAATTTCCCCTTCCATATTTGGCAGTTTTCTGCATGCAGTTGATCGATACCCAGCAAATCCGTACGCATTTTCTCTGCGTGTGCCACAACGTAGAGAACCCCATCTCTGCGTAGAAATCTGGAGCCAAAACACGCGAAGCCGTAGACTCTAACCCAGACACCTGCTCTCTACGTGATTTCTCTACGTTTCACGTATAGCAGAACCTCCCTATTATCACTCCCCCCCCCCCCATCTCGTGACCGCGGACTCCTGCATATACACTCACACAATAACCACACAACTGTTTAGGGATAGCGCGCTTCTTGTATTATGCCAAACTTGACACGCTGAGTCCAGCTTGACTCAGATGAGTTCCTGACTGCTATTTACTGCTCTAACATGAAGCCGTGCCTGGAGGAAGCGAAAGAGCGAAAACAAAACAAAATTCTAGCCTTCTGCAAGCAATAGCAAGTAATGAGTGCCGGCTGTGTAAAGTCGCACAACCATGAAGTCGACCGGATGATGGTGGGTACCGCCGGGTGTCCGGCACACATCTTGCTCTGCTGCTCCACCTGCGCATACCTTAATTATACGGTGGTGCGCTTACGGCGGGCTGCCTGGGCCCCAGATGCCTCCCTGACGCGCCACGGGGTGCAGTCGAAGCACCTGTATCACTTCGGTGATCCAAATGCGAATGCAGCCTTGCCGTCGCCCGCCGGCCTGCCGCCTACGCGACCAGCCTGAGACTGGGCCTGCCGCATTTGGCGCTTCTTAACGCTGGGATCCGGTAGACAGCTCACTGGGCTGCCAAATACGTGACTGGCTTGAGTGGGGTTGCCGGTGGAACGTGTCTTTCGAGCCCAGCAAGTCACAGGCTATGACTGCTACCCTCCGACGCACTGACCTAGACCTGCCCCAAATCCTGTTTGGTGGTACCCCTGTACCGTAGGAAACCAGCATATCACTGCTTGGTGTTCGATTTGACTCCAAATTGTCCTTCGCTAGTCACCTCAGGACCGTGACCATCCGCGCCCAGCAGCGCCTCGGCTTTCTCCGACGAGCGGCCAACATTCTAACGCCAGCTGGCCGAACGACTGTCTACAAGGCATTCGTGAGGCCCCTGATGGAGTATGCCCAGCTTGTGTGGATGGGTGCGCCAGCCAGCCACATCCAACGTCTGGATAATGTTCAACGCCGCGCACTGCGCATCATTGGCCCTGGTGCAATTCTCCCCAGTCTGGCTGTCCGCCGGACTGTTGCTGTTCTCTCGTGCATGTACACATTGCATTTCATTACTGGTCCTCCTCAGCTACTTGCTGTATTGCCACCGCATCGCGTTTCTCCAGCCAACCCCAGAACCAGGAACCAGCACAATAATGCCACCAGCCACGCCTATCAACTGTCAGACACGCTCCCTGTCTCAGCTCCATCCGTCGTGAAGCGGTCGTTCCCGTACTGCTGTATTGGCGCATGGAACTCCCTTCCTGACAGGCTGCTGTCGCAGCGCCCACACAAAACACGTTTTCAGTCATTCAAGACAAAGGTCTACCGACACCCGAGAAACAGCAACTGGTACTGGGCAACAGATTCCCTGTAACTTTTCGAGCTCGTCGCTTGCCGGACCCGCTAATCCGCGTACCTGGCCTTGCTCAGAGTGCTCAGCTGTGTTTTGCATACATGGAAAAACTTGTTATGATTCTTTTCTTTTCTCTGCTTATTCTTTTACCAGGCGTGGGCCATCCCCTGGATTATCAAAATGGGTGCCTTATTATTTTTCTATTTTTCTGTTTTTCAGCTTGTTTTCTTTACACTTCTTTGTGCGAGTTTCGTTTCAGATCTATTAAAAAAGTTCATAAGTTTTGGTTGATGAAGTTGACATGTACATTGTACGTCAGTCCAAACACTGATAATAAACTATCTCTTTTCATCTTGTTTTTATTTTTCTAAACACCTACCGGTACTTTTACCCATTCTACTTCCCCATAGCTAGATCTAGCTTAGCTTTACATTTCTGTTTCTTTTTCCTGGTGCGTGCTTGTGGCATTGAAGCCGAGACCTTTGGTCGGTGGAGCCCCTGGTACCTCACCATCACTGCTGCCCAGTGCAGCCCCTGCTCAGTAGCTGTTTGTTTTTGTCCACATATTATTTATTTTACGAGTTGGGTTTGTGAATAATAGTAAAAAATAAATAAGTAAAAAACTGTTTGGGGATAGCGCGTTTCTTGTATTATGCCAAACTTGACATGCTGAGTCCAGCTTGACTCAGATGAGTTCCTAACTGCTATTTACTGCTCCAACATGAAGCCGTGCCTAGGCACGTATGAAGGGAAAGAGCGAAAAAAGAAAAAAAGAAAAATCTGGCCTTCTGCAAGCAATAGCAAGTAATGAGTGCTGGCTGTGTAGAGTCGCACAACCATGATTTTATCGGCGAGACCGACAAGACAAGACTGGGGGAGGAGTATGCATCTATGTCCGTGATGGACTGCAGCACAATCGAATAGGGATCACGAACGACATAGAAGCAGTGTCGATACATGTACGTCTTCAAGAAATCACACTAAACATTATTGCTGCATACAGATCGCCGTCCACGCCTGTCATATTCTGGCAGAAACTGACTGATACAGTGGACAACATCTTAGGATCCACAGCAGCAAAATCGCACACGATAGTCATTGGTGATTTCAATGTCAATGTTCAGAACCACAATCACCCACACTACACCCACCTCCAAACCTTCTGCAGCGATAACAGTTTAAGAAATGTGGTACTCGCCCCCACGAGGCTGCCGAGCAACTCCACCATTGATCTACCATTAGTACCTAACCTGCTTGCTCAGTTGCCAAACTCACAGCCGCTTGGAAACAATGTCAATTCCATCACATGCTCCGTTCATTCAACCATGCGACGTATGTGACCACCAACTTGTCATTCTCGAGCTATCTACCATGCTACGAACATTCAAAGAAGAACGCATTACTATTCGTAAGCCTCCAGTTCGAGCGATAAACATTCAACAATTCCAAGACGACATTAGCTCCAGTTTGACTGCTCTCCATAATAACAACATTTCGCCATCTGAGATCACTCTAAACGAGCACATTGCCCTATTCCAAACCTCAATAGCTGACACCCTTGACAAGCATTGTCCGACCACGACCATCACCACGTCACCACGATACAAACCTTCTCCTTCGGTGGACGG